ACCGAATAGAAAAAGTTGACTAATTTTATTCACTTGTGTGCGTTTTATTTAAATTTACGATTAATATATTGTCACCAATAATTAATGTTAATATCCCCAATAAGAATAATGTTAAATAAGAAGCTCTACTCAGCGTACATTCACACTTACTTTAATTTGAAGTTAACTTTACTTATTAACAATTTCGATGTCGATGCCGATGTCGATGTGTTTTGATGAGTTTTTTTTATCTTAATAATAATTTTTAAAGTAAATTCACAGTTCTCTTACCTTATAATACTTTAAAAAAATTAACGACTGAGATGTTGAGAGAATTAACCAAAAATCGAGATTATGGACTAAACTAAGAAATAAAATTGCTTATACAGCATCAATGTTTTCTGGTATAAAAATTGATTTTGTACGACCTTTACGAATTTCATCAGTGAGCGGACTGCGGCCACGGTTAAAATGATTGTACTAGCGTTTCACAGTAGCAAAGGATGGAGCTTTATCGCAAAATGAGGGAGTAAGTTGATCGATATACTCTTGTTTTGAAAATCCACGTCGAAATTCGTTAATTCCATTTTTTCGTTAAAACTCTATTTACAATAACACAAATAACAATCTTTTTAGAAGAAGTCTAAGGTAGGTTATTTTTAATAATATCAACCTTTCGTATGGAAACGTCAGAAGACACTTAAAAGCAATAAGTGTTTTGAGCCAAAGCTCAAAATATAAATAATGACCCTCATTAACGTGTTCTAAAAAAGCTAAACAACTCCATCAGTAGATATAATTTCTGTTTTCTGGGATACACATGAAATATTTATTATTGACTAGCTCAAAAAAGACAAAAGTCTTACAAGTCAATAATATTGGTCGAATTACACCATTCGTCAAATTTACCTGCATCTGATTTTATTATACATTTCCAAATGTGAAAAAATGGCTTACTAGGAAAAAATGGCTTATTTATTCTTGATTTATCAAACGCTTTCGTATAAAAAATATAATAAGTTTAATATTTCATTCGTTTATCCTTAAAACTAAAATATTACTTAACATTGAAAGAAATGACTCACTTAAAAACATATGCTTTATATTACGACGACGTCTCCGTAACACTGGATAAAAAGCATATTTTCATATGATAATATTTGTGAATTATCGTTTCCAATGTGGGAATACGCTTATTTTTATTTTTACATACTATTATTTATTTACTATCTAAACAATTTCATAATAATCAAGTACTTATACAGAAAGAAATTCTATTATTGTTTTACATGCAAATTGATAAAAATGCTCATAAACTTATTAAAAAGAACATGATTAAAATCACAGTGTTCAATAGGAACATTTGTTTTATCTTCAGAACTGAAATCTGATAAAAATTATCTTCGCAGTGATAATTTAAATAAATACATCTTTAGTGTTATGTTGTAGTGAAAAAATGGGTTCTCTTCCTATTCAGTGTCATATATATGAATGCATAGAAGATATATGGATATTTAGTTTTTCATAAATTGAAATTTATATTTAAATTCAATAAAATTTACTTCCATGCTGGAATAAGAATCTATTGAGACTCATTTATTGTCTAGTGTAAGAAATAACGATAGAGCAATTTAATTCCGAGGCACATTGTACAAAACGTAAAATACTGATATTTGCTAATAGTTTTTAAAGTGCTAAGTCTAAGTCATTAAATTTTATTGATATGTACTGATACACTAAATTCTACAATTAGCAATCTAATTTGAAAAATCTTCAGTACTCGTGCTGATTATTGAGCAACGCAATACATTTAGAAATTGATATACTTCAGCAAATTATTTCTGCTACACATGCACTTTGTACGTTCAATTTAATTCAAATATCAATTACATATTTATATATGTTAAATTTTTCACATATCGAATTGATTAAAACTGACTCTGAACCGTTTCGTTAATTGTATATGTATGAATAACCAAACTGTAACACTGCATACATGTGCTCCTACTTACATATGTAAATATGTTATATCATTATATCGGTTTCACTGAACCCATTTGGTTTCTGTGTAAATTATTTTAATTTATGCACTTGCAGGAGTCTTTTGGTCAACAAGTTTTCCAAAAGGTGATATATAAGTACATACATACATATTAAAAGTACGAACACACAATATATCCAATAAATAGTATGATAGTATCTTCATACTGCTAGAAATAGGTTATTAAAAGTATTTCTGATTAATCGTTTATTTGATTCAAATTATTTATGTTATATGTATCCGTATATTTAATAGTTAGCTTTATACAATAGTTAACTATATATAGAACTCAAGAGAAACAAATTTTGAAAATATCGGTAACATAAATATAACTGTATTATAATTATTAAATGTAGAGTATTACCTCTAATGTTTTGCTTAAAATACTTTTGGAATACGATACAAATAAAATTAATTTTTTAATAAATTTTAATTATTTAACCTCTTAATTAATCTGATTAGCGAATGACAAATTTATTGCATACGAATTCAATACACTGATAAAAAAATGTTTTGCATTAAATAAATCCAAAAACCATTGGTTAATAAAAGAAATAGATACTTGATTGGTTAAAGTTTGGTTAATAATTTATAAAAATAAATTATGTCGATATTTTTCGTAAATGATGAATAAGCTTTCTAATTTTATTTTAAAAACAACGGTATTGAATTATGTAACCAATAGATTATATCATTTCATTAATAGTTTTCAAAGATTAAATTTGTTGAAAAATTAGATAATTATTGCATTATTTTTTTAAATAATTTCCAAAATTGAATATCAAGACCGAATAAAGGAACAAAAACGAGAAACAAATGAAATCTGTTTGAATTAATTGTTAAACTTGCGAAAAATAATAATAACAAATAAGATATAAAATTAATAAATTAATAACAGTGGTTTAGATAAAACTATATGTAATAGAATATATTCTCGTGTTTCTTATAGAAGCGACACTAGTAAAAATACATAAATATGTTAATCTAAGAGATATGTTTTCATATTTTTTGTGTGGTTATTTCATAAGTAATATAACACCCGTCTTACTTATGAAATAACCACACAAAAAATATGAAAACATATCTCTTAAATTAAAATATTTATGGGATTAAGCTATTTCTTTACTAAATCAGTGTAAAATTTTCACTCTCAATTATGGATGGATCTAGTATTTAATCTAGTAATTTTTGTTAATTTCAACTTTTAGATTGGTTGGAAAATATACATTTATGTATGTGTACATATACAAGTATATAAAGTCTATAATTAAGACTATAATTCTAAATTTAATTAAATTATTTAAATATTTTGCTAAGCTGTGATAAATATATACAACTATGTATAGTCGCGATTGTATGAAATCAGGAAAATTTTTTACTTAATCATGTTTAATATTAAAGTAAGCTGATAAGATTATAGCAACATATTTTTCATTATGGAAATCATTTAAACCTGTTTACATTTAATATTATTTATTTATGGTATATTGGTGCATAAAAAAAGTATATAATTTCTTGAGATTAAAGTTCAATTGTTTTTAACCTCACATGATAAGTTCTTGACAAATTCATCTTAATTAAAGTTTGTGCTGTATTTTAAATCTGTATTTTAATTAACTTTTAAAAATACTTGCATCAATGCAATATTTCGATTGCATGTCTCATTGACCTTTTAAAAATTAATTGACTTTTACTGGTTCTTATTTACACTTGTTTAAATTGCTTAAAACACGTTTTCAAAAATTACAACAAATTAGTATGAATATTTTCATTTCCACTAAGAACTTCTCAAACAATTTTTTAATAAAAATAGTTTTTTAAAAGCAAAAATTCAGTCATAAAAATGGAATACCTATAAAATAAGAAATCTTAAATCAGCTGAGGAATAAGAAGCTCTTTCTGAAATCCTTGTTATCAAAGACACACATATGTATATGTATATGTATATGTATATGTATATGTATATGTATATGTATATAAATTAATCAAGAAACAAAAAATAAAATAATAAAAACATTTCAATGATTCGGCAGTCTTTCTTAAAAATGTTTATCAATTAAATTTTTTTTAAATTGATGTCAGTCTGAAATAAAAATCACGCGGCTAGTGCGACAATTGTAGAGGTTCTCATACATGACTTTTAAATTGCATAACTTTTTTTCGTTAGTTTCTAATTGGCTGATTTACTTAATTTATTGAATTGTCTCAAAAACTAATTGTGCTTTAATTGAGTACCATACGTCAAAGATATCGAATAGAATTATTGTTCCCATTTTTAATATATAATTGATACGCACATGGACGCTAACACATGCGAAATCAACACAGAGCCAAAAAAATATTTCGTAGTTATTTAAGAATATATGATTAAAATATAGATATGTATATGTAATATAGATTATTAATTAGTAGTAAAATAATAGATATTGTGTATGTGTGATATAAATATTTTATTTACCTTTAGCTCATTCGGTTAAAATGCACAAAACATCACTTTAAGTTTGACAGGTTAAGTTTAAAAATTATAAGCCTGGCACTTGCAGTTCGAAAATAATATACGAACCTCATAAAACTAAGAAATAATAAAAAACTCGATTTATTAAATAAAATTTATATTGTCTATTCGGCATTAATTAGCACCTTGGTTTAATCATCAATCAAAAATAATGACTTAAATTTTATATAATCACATTCATAGTCGTTTAAATAGTTTTATTGGTGTTTTTGACGCGGTGAAGAATAAATTGAAGATAATATTAACTATATACAGAGCGATGTATATATTTTCAAACTTTGAATATAAATCAATATACAAAATGACAAAGAAATGTTGACCTAAAAAAAATCGCTGATAAAAATTTCAATCCAAATATCAAATCTCAAAAATCCAAATAGCTTATCCTACGTTATTTTTCCCCCATTTAATATTCTTTACATTTAAATACATTTAAAAGTAATTTTTTTTCTTTTTTATTTATAGATCTTAGCGGTCGGTGTGCAACAATGGAAGTGTAAGTTTGGTTTTAACCAATTCTTTATTCTCTAATTTAGTGATATTTCTAGCGAGGCCAGTGCTGTTCTTCCACCAGGATCATGTCCGGCAAAAGCAAAAAATTTCCTTTCTAACCACTGGAAAGGTCTAGTGGTATTCCTTGTTCCTTTGTTGTGCTTACCTGTGATGCTACAAAACAACACTCCAGTAAGTAGTTCTTCAATAAGTATTAATATATAACATTAACATTATTATTAAATTATTTAACTTAGGCGTACCGTTGCATGTATTTGTTGCTTGTAATGGCAATATACTGGGTAACTGAAGCATTGCCTCTCTATGTCACCTCTATGGTAAGCCTCACCTTTCCTCTAAAAAAAAATATTTTTATTTTAACGAAAAATATATGGGATAAGTTGCGCATGCGAAGCGGCCATTCAGATAATATTATCCCTTAATTCGGTCATATGAACACGAACCAATTATTAAATAGAATAACAAAAGTCGTATTGATTAAATTGTATTATGTTATATAGCTATATTAATATGGAATCTATATTTCACCCAGATATGTTTGATTAATAGTATATCTATTTAACCTCTCAAATTAAGTTTTTGTATCAATTGGTTTCTTTCTAGAGATACATCTGTTTTTTGCAACCATATCTTTACTTTTAATAATAATATTTTTTAGTTTTTACATGTTTTTAAATAAAAAAGAATATAAAAAAAATTAATGATTATTCGTAGGCAGCATTAATACAGAACAGACAAAATTTATTTAGGTATAATTACGATATATATATTTTTTATATATAAATATAGTATCGTTAAAAATATAGTAAATTTTGGATTTACTTCAAAAAAAAGTTTTGAATGCAGTTTCAGATGAAGTGCAAAAAAGCAGGCAATTATGCAAAGTCTTGTAGTGAATGTGCGAAAATAGTTTCGAACTAGGAATCCCCGCTTTAGAGGTATAAAATGAGATATCTTTATAATTATTATTTTGTTATTCTAATATAAATAACAAAATTTTTAAGATAATGAAATGTAACTCTCGTTGCAGTAAACTTTTTAACACCTTATTAAACTTCCCTTTGTATTTATTAAGATAAATTTAAAAGCCAATCTCGTTGACAATCTTTTGTTTTTTTTAATGACAGTGTCAAATTTATATTTCGGTTTAGATTGTGTATTATATATGTACATACACTTAAGTCAAATTTGTTATAATATTACGGATTACTAAAAAAAAAGAAATGGAGTGATAAAGTACAGGTAATCAGATTAATGATTGAATATTTGATTTTGAATATTTGGTACTATTCGGAATCGCCGATATAGAAGAAACCTTTTATTCATCAAACATAAAAACTATAAAGCTTTACATAAAATATATACTGTTTATTTTGTAGTAAAATAAACAGAAATATATGTACATATATACAAAATAATATGTAACTAATATAAATATATATAAACTAAAAAATATTATCTTTTAAAGATTCCTATTGTTGCTTTTCCTGTAATGGGTATAATGGTAAGTTTAATTATTATATAAATAACACAGTACATTAATACTTATATATTTTCCGGTAGAGTTCGGACGTAACTTGCAGATTGTACTTTAAAGACACATTAGTTATGTTTATCGGTGGCATTATGGTTGCGTTAGCGATAGAGTATTGCAATTTACACAAGCGTTTGGCATTGAGGGTTATACAAATTGTGGGTTGCAGCCCCCGTCGGTAAGTAATATTTTATATTGTCACTACAAAGTGATTTATTTGACACTAAAACTTATACTGTGAAACTTTTAATCCCTACTTTCTTTGAAATTAACCGAACTTATCATGTGAAAGTTTTCTCAAATACGTAGTCTGTTAAAGATTAAAGATTATTTTCAAGATTATACAACTATATAATCAGTGCAATACTGAATATTTACAAAGCAAAAGGAAAAAACACTATAGATTTAAAGTCGAGAATCGGCAAGAGTTAATCGCATTTCACAAGTCGGCAGTGTGTTCAAGGTAACGTTTGCACATTTATCAATAGGCACCCCATGATAAATCTCATATTTTCCAAATATATTCATTTGTGTAGTTCTTACAGCGCAACTTATTTGTGTGCCACTGTTCGAAGACCCTTAACTATTGTTTTCCTCTCAATTTGATTATCCATAAAAATAGTCGCGATCCCAAGCAAAATTTGTACAATGCTAAGGATTTCAGGTTATATTGTACTAAATATCCTTTTTATTTAAAACGAATCTAACCATCTAACGGCAAATAATTTAAATATATTACCGACCAAAGAAATGTAGACAACTTGACAACTTGACATAACAGCAACAGTTTGATGCAAACTGATTTCTGAAAGAAGATAGAGATAGAGAGTATAATTTATCCTTAAGGGCCATATTATGTATAGTATCTCGGGTACGGAAAAATTTGCTCTTTCGGGCAATGCTGAAAATTCATATTATGTAGAGTGTCACATCAGTATTGCTAATTTCGTATTTTTACTATGTTTTGGTGCTTTTTGGTTGTGCCTAAATTTAAAAGAAAATGTCACCAAAAATAACCAACAAGAAAAAACTCATAGAGGCTTGTAATAGTGTTAATTTATTATTATATTGTCATATAATAATTGTAATTAATAATAATTAGATTATTAGCGATTTATTAGCGATTCTCCAAAACATGTTGGATTTGGAGAAATTTGCTCCTAAAAGGCGCAAATTCTAAAATTTAATACTAAAAATACTTTGCCTTAGTACCGAGGCACAAATACGACGGCTCTCATACCAGAATTTGAACAGCTATATTGTTTTTTCTCTCACTCTCAATTTTATTATTTGCATTAAAAACACCAACAATTTTACTCATGCTGTGCCCGAGACACTCTACATAACATGGTCCTTAATTTGGCGCAATAAAGGTAAAATTATTGTTTTTCCTCAATTTGATGCAGATAATTAAGCAATATTCTTTTTGGGCAGCAAGCGTTTTTATTAGACGATACTACAGAAATGCACGAATGTATTAGCTCTGTTTTAGATTATTTTCTATATTTTTAAATATTTGAATCTTTATTAAATATTTTTAAAAAAGGATGATTTTTTTTTAAAAACGGAGTATGAAAACCGATCGGTTAGAATGTGCACAACATTCCTTTTAATGGAGTGAGAGATATTTTATGCTCAATATTTAATTGTTTTGTGTTTTAGAATCAAATAAATGAATACTCTCGAGTATTTCAACGAATAACAAACACAAATTATAAACTTTTTACCTATTTATCGTTATGATTTTCTATATTTAAATTTCAAGTTAATGGCAAAATAACTACTTTGAGAAATGAAATTTTTCTTCCATTAAAGAAACAAATTTAGCCTAATATGCTGATAAGAGTATAGTAATTTTCTAAAAGCAAATAATGTTCCATTGCGACGTAAAGGTTATTTAACATACATATGTATTATATTCTGAATGAGAACAAGCAATTATATATATTTTCAACGATTCTGTTAAAGGCATAACAAATGTATTGTGCAGTATTTTAGTAGGGCATAGTACATACACTACATGTGAATATTTTATATGTAAAAAAAATTGACGCATCAATTTTTATACTATACTATAAATGAAACTGAAAACATTTTCAAACGTCAATCTGTCGCTGGTTTATGTAGGCCGAAGGAGTGTGTGGGCATTATGACATATAAACAAAATACTTCAACATTTAATAATTACTGATATCAGAACCTTGTATATTTTCAAAGTGCTCTCAAATACGCACACATCATCTTCCAAACAACAGAAATAAAATCGACTGTTTTTAAATTAGTTACCTTTTTACTGAATAAAAATTTATTCACTATTAAGAATGGTGCTGAAGTGTGGCACTGCTCTTTGTTGTTTGTTTCCAATATGAAATGTGATGTACATATGTTATACTAATGAAGTAAACAGATGGTTTCGTACTTGCAGTTGACTGAAGAAGCTCATGGCTCCTTTTACACATCACTGGCAACGGCAGAAACCAGATCTGACGTATAATCCTACCATCTGTAGCCACTATCTAGCTGCCGGATTAAAGGCCTTTTTTTTGTTTTAACATTTATTTATGTTAACACAAAGCCATTCTATGGAAATCATTCAGTTTTACGGTAAATATTGTTGTTCTGTTCTTCTGTAAATGGTGGCAAATGTTATTGTGTTCGTCTTTGTCATGGTTAGAGCAAATGTTTAGTGACTTGTAATTGTAAATATCAAACTAAATCGAAAATTGGTTAATTTATAATTAAATAAGGTAAAGTTTTTTTTAAAAACTTAGAATACAACATTAAATTAACACAAGAAAAATCAAAAAAAATTAAAACCCATGAAAAAATAAACCTATAGCTTTAAAATTGTTAAATTTTCAATATCTTGATTTAATTACTTCAGTAAATCATGTTAAGGATTCTTTTAATTTATTTACATGTGCAATTATTTTTGGTAAAAGAAATGAAGTAGAATTATAATCTTTTACTACATAATGTATTGTTTGTCAAGAAAGTGTTTTTAAAACAAAAAAATTATATTATTTGAATTTATATGCTAAAATAACAATCATTTTTTAATGTTAATTTAAACTATCTAAAACTATTTAACAGTTAGACGTATTCGAATAGCAAAGGAAAGTCAAGAACAAAAATTTAGTTAATTTATTGAAATTTGACTGACCATACAACGCTGTTTTGAGTATTGCCAAGTACTCTTAATCAGTGGTCTTAGGAAATAATCAAATTTTATTTAATTCATTAATAGTCCGTATATAATTTGTTTGGACTGCAAGTGCCAGGCTTAGAACTCGTGCCTGTCAAATTAGAAGCGATGACTAATCGTGTTTATCCACAAGTAGCCAAGGCTGCACAAACTTTCAATGCTCATGTTCCAGATTTTGTTGTCACTTATTTTTATTTAATTAGTGACACCAACCAAAGCACTTACCGTGCTTTAAATTAGAACGAGATTATAAACTACAGCTTTATTAGGAATTATTAGGAGTTAATGTTTAAAGTTGCCTATTTTTGTTTCAAAAATATTCTTATGGCAGAGATATCTGTTATGTATATATTTACTTAATACATATAAAGCGTCTTTTTTAAATTTTTTTTTATAGTTTTATAATCCATTATTTTTATTTCACATATCTTATATTCGCCAAAGCAAATAATTGTGGCTAACGTTGTCAAATAAAGGAATGTTTTGACTGCTGAAATGCGCAATCTTATGACTATCATTCTAAGCTTATTCACTCACAAATGCTACAACACATTAACCCCTCCCGCATCATGGAGTTTGCCAAATTAAAATTGAGTCATAAGTAGTCTATACTATACTACTTATGATACGCATTTCTCAGTATATATCCAGCTAATCTTTGTTTGTTTAAAGCGCTGGTATGAATCACAGTTTTACACATATATCTTTGCGGCTCTGAGTATACCTAACTATCAATAATAGTTTGATATTTGCCGAATAGAATGATTTTCATGTGATAGTTCATGCTGTAAAGAACAACAAGTAATGTCATCTAGAACTGAATATACAGAGTGCATGCATTGAAAAGGTATTTTCCTAGAGAGAAATAATATGCAAATACAATTTTGCAAATATAAGTTTATAAACACTTTTTTAAATACACAAATTAACTGTAAATTTATAATATACATAATTTTTTTATAGTATACATTACTATAGTTTTTAATCTATTAATTTATATTACTGCTCATAACGATTATCGGTAGTAACGATTGACTGGATTTTTTTTATGAATGGGAGAAAAGCTCGAAAGCCTAGTCAGTGGGGGATTTTAATCGACCTTAAAACTGCCCTCGTCCAGACGGACGAGGGGAGTTTTGCTGTGTTGGATATGCTGTGTTGGATATAATAGCAAGAATGGATATAGTCAATAATGAATTAAGAGATAAAAACGTTCTATATGCCTACCATGTTTCAAGTTCTTAACTTATAAATAAACAACAAATCTAAATAATTTAACATTTTACAAGTATAATACAATTTAGTGAAAGACTGTTTTCTGTTTTCTTCTTTTGGAAGAAATTTAAATTTCTAAAATGTTACTTAGGATCCGTAATATGCAAATAATAACTTTCATTTCACTAAAAATAATATTATAAAAAAAATATCTGTGATATATATGTAAATATGTATATGGAAAATGTTTTTTGTAGCCTTCATTTTGGTTTAATTTTCGTCACCATGTTGTTGTCCATGTGGATATCTAATGCGGCATGCACTGCTATGATGTGTCCTATTATTCAAGCTGTTTTAGAGGAATTACAGCAGGTAAGATTGGTTTGTATATATATGTATATCAGTAACTCTAATTATAAATTAAAATTTAGCAAGGATTGTGTAAAATGACTAGAGAACAAAAGTATCAAATTGTGGGAAAGAAAAATGGAGAAGAAGAGTATGTTCTTATTTTATTTGTCATACATTATCTTGTAATATGTTTTGCAGGGCACCTTATCCCTCTAAAGTAACTCTTTGTTACTTCTTAGGTATTGCGTATGCATCATCAATGGGGGGATGCGGAACAGTAATTGGTACAGCTACAAATTTGACATTCAAGGGAATTTACGAAAGGTTTATTATTCAAAATTTTTATTTATTTAAAGGCAATAAATTTATGATTGTTATTTCAGCCGTTTTCCTACTTCTACTGAAAGTTTGGATTTTCCAACTTTTATGTTTTACTCTGTGCCATCAATGTTGGTATATACTGGACTCATGTTTTTGTATTTGCAATGGCATTATATGGGGTTGTTTCGACCAAAAAGCAAAGAAGCAGAGGAAGTAAGACTTGGGAATGATGGAGCAGCAGTAGCTAAAAAAGTCATTGATCAACGTTATAAGGAATTAGGACCAATGAGCGCACATGAAATTCAAGTTATGATTTTGTTCATCATAATGGTTGTAATGTACTTCACTCGAAAACCTGGCATTTTTAATGGTTGGGGCGACTGGCTAAATGCGGTGTAAGTACATATTTTGCTTTTATTTCAAGTGCTTTTTTTATTTATTAATAGTGTTTTCTTATGTTCTTAATAACTGTTATATTAAAGTTATCAAAATAACCATATATACTATATACAAATGCTCCAATTAAGCATGGCTAGATCAATTGATGAGGTTTGACTATCAACATGTAAACTACTCTAAACTTTTAAACAAATGAAAAAACATTTTCATAGTGAGTTTTTTGAATCCAACCATGGTATAATTATTATGGTTGTAAAAAATAGCTGAAACTGTTGTTACAGTCTATTTTATTGTTACAACAATATCTTAGCTGAAATTTATTATAATTTGATTGAAAGATATTGTAGTTTTGATATAGCTTGCATTAGTTTTTTTTTATTGTATATATTGTATTGTATATGCAATACATATAAACATACATTCTATTAGATGGATTATTCATATTTTCTTATAATGTATCCGTTTATGTAACATTAAAAAGCGTTTTACTTTAATAGAGACATTCGAAATTCTATGCCAACAATTTTTGTTGTTGTGATGTGCTTTGTGTTGCCAGCAAATTATGCCTTTTTAAGGTATTGCACAGGAAGAGGTAACATATAATACGTTAAACTTTTTTCAAATATTTTAAACTTTTTTGTTACAATTTTTTACAGGTCCACTCCCTACATCTACAACGCCATCATTAATCACATGGAAATTTATACAATCCAAAGTGCCTTGGGGTCTTATTTTTTTGTTAGGTATGTTATACTTTCCTATTTTATTAATAACAGGACTTACAATTATACTAATTTAAAGTATAAATAATAAAAAAGCAGGTTAGAGCACAATAACTGAATTATCGTAAGAGAATTTTTACCATAAAATCAAAATAAGCATTTTTGAAATACAGTTAAATATTATGGGGAATGATATCAAACGGGCGTTAATAATAAGTATATAACACTACTTCATATTTTTCTAAGTCTTTAAGTGCGAGCAAAAGAAAGTTGACAACAATACTGCAGACTTCTTAACTATGATGTGTGAAATGAAGAAAGCATTCGTATATAATTGCAACACATTATAATCTGTGTCAAATAAATTTAATAATGTGCAGTACGATAATATATATTGATGTATGTAGTTAATGTATGTAGTTATACTATAATTTTTATATAAATAGTTAAAATATTTATATTATTATTTAGTGTATAAGTTAACTTTTGTACTGAGCATTCTTTTATAATGACATTAACGTCAGGTCAAACTGTTGTCATTCTACATTAAAATATAATATGTCATTATTCGTTAAAACGTAAACATCATGTGTGTTATTGCATTAAAATATGTCGACTTTCATACCAACAAAAGATCATTTGCGGCAAGCATTATTTTTTTGCTTTAATCAAAAGAAAAAAGCTGTTGAAAGCTTTTGATTGCTTCAGGAAATTTATAGTGCACAAATTCACCAGACTTGCGAAATCAGTTGCTTGATTCAAAAGTGATGGTTTTGAAGAAAGAACTAGCAGCTCAGCTAAGTGTCACTCAATCAGTCATAACCAAATGTGTGCATGCCATAAAAATGATTTCAAAAGAAGGAAATTGAGTATCATATAAACTGACTAAAGCCAACATTGAAAATCATTTAATGATTTGCAATTCTTTAGTTACATAGTACTGAATGTGGCATTTTTTTATATTAATTCCAATTTTTTGGCGATGAAAAATAAAAAGTGGATTTGGTGGGATCAGAAAACAATGGTGTACTATGAGCTGCTAAAACCAAATGAAACTGTTACTGCTGAAGAACAGTTACGAACAACAACTAACAGATTTAAACCATACATTGAATGAAAAACGTCAGATTCTAGCCAACAAACAACATTGCCAACATTGCTTAGCTGTATTTCAGAGGAAATGGTAAAAAACCTATTCAAAAGTTTGTGCTCCATCCGATTAATTACTACTAGCTTGCTGGCTAAACGAGTTAGGAATGCTACTTTTCTGGCATCCATAAGTTATGGATTTGAACTTCCTTCACAATGTTCAGATGCGGCGAATAGCACCTTGGTCAAAGAAATTGGTTATATTGGCAAATTCGTCCCACCTTAGAAAGCCTTTTTGAGATAACGTAGAAGGTAACAAGTCGTCCCAATTTAATTTGGCATTAATATGAATCAAATATAGCCATCACAATTCCTAAAAGCTCTTGCTTTCTTGGAGCCCTTTTACCTTTGATAACTTCTTTAGCTATGCGATGAAATTTTATTAAAAATTGAAACGAATCATTTGTCATGAAGTTCAAAACTGGCGCACAGTGACAAAACAAAAATTAGGCGGTCAAAATTTGATATTTTCGAAACCAGTAGAGATATTGATATGAAACTTTTCTAAAATACAGTTTTTGAGATGAATTTTCTTTTAAATCTTTCAAATTTGTGCCCAATCGGCTTACCAGAACCCTACAAAATTTTTGCTCAAACATGAGGCATTTAGTGATGTCCCTAGTAGGAAAAATTTTTTGAAAATCCTTCGATACCTTTTTGTTTTGTCACACTCTGCGGCGTTTGCATTAATTTGCACCACTTGTTGATAATTTTCTAGAGCGTGCTGTATCGAAGTTGGCAACGTAATCGGCATTCTGGTCAGTTTGTCGTGTTTTAACCTGAGAAAACATCTTTCATATGCCTACGGCAAGTGCAATACGGCCTGTCGAAGTTAAAAAAGTATTCCCATTTATGGGTTTAGCCTTTTCTGGTCCCTTCAACAACGCTGACTTGAGAGATTGTTTACCAACAGTGGCGGCGGAGTCGAAAGCAATTCTCAACTTGTCGGGCATATGCGGGTTCTACACATAAAAATACGGCAAACACCACACCGGCTTTGTAATATGTTCGGTTTCATCTTTTGTAAGTTTCTTGACGTAACGCTTGGCGATGTATTTGTTGGTTTCGGCCTTATATTTTTGTGCGAACTTGACATTATTTCTCAATTTTGATTCAATTCCCTGTAAACGTTTGACGGTCATGACATAACTATCAGGCAATATTGGTAATTTTTTCTCTCCATAAAAGACCTACCTTATAACAATAATTTATAAAGCGTGTCGTATCAGATAAGATTTTACATGCTCTCAAATCATCAGCTGACTTTAAAGGCGGTGTTTTCGCAATTTAGACCCAGCAGCATTAAAGGGCGAACATCGTCCAAGCAAACATTCAAAGTGCTCATAATCTGATTTCTTGAACGAATGTGTTGGCAGACTAGAATTGACAATCGCGTAAGCGTTTTTTACCTTATATTGTTCGCCTGTTTTACCTTTCATGTTGACATTCAGTACTGTTGAGTTTTGAGTCACCTTTTCTTCACAATATCATTGTATAGTTAAGTGTTCTTTTTTGCCTTTAAGACCTAGCTGATTCGCGGTTTTGACATCCAACATAGAGATTGACGACCCTTTATCCACAAGTGCGAAAATCTTCAGTTGTCCTTTTGGTCCCATAATTTTTATCGGAACTATTTTAAAAAAAAGCTGGAACATGATATGGCACAACTCAAAACCTGCTGAACTGATTCAGATGAAGGCTGCACATGTTGGAGCTCATGTAGCAATATATAATGGTTTTTACGGCAACCATTTATAACGGAGGATTTTTTCATTTGGCACTGTATGGCATTGTGTCCTTTCTGCAAATATGAAATGCATAATTGAAGCTGCTTCACCTTTACCCAAAGCTGCTGAACATTCGAATTCAAAAACGCTTCACATGTAAATATCAGATGTGGGCCGGTGCACTCAAAACACTAGTCTCCCAGGCGATTCTCTTCCTCTGTCTCTTGGTTTTGTTCATGCATAACTGGGCGCGTATGATTTTGGCTAACTGTCATTGTAATTGTGGCCTTTTTTTTGGTTTTTGGTTTAGGCAATGGTTGTGGCAAAAGGCAAATTATTTTCGCAATTTGACTCAATTGTCTGTTCCACGAGCTTTGAGTAACACTGTATATACATAAGTGTGTTCCATCAGCAAATTTTCGAGTAAATGAGAGCATCTGAGAGAGCATAACATCCCTGCTGAAATTTAAAAATGCTATACGGACTTCACTCGAACATTTGTAATATTTGTGCTGATGTATAAATCAGCTGATTTGGTTTGAATTTAAATTTTTGTATTGTTTATTTGCGCGGCACTGGTGTTCTCAGCAGACTTTACACAAAGATGTTCCATGAAAACCTGTTTAAAGAGCATAATTTAGCATATTTTGAAACTGATAAAAGTGTGTTGGGAGTTTTGTACGAGTTATTTTCTAATTTATAAAAATATTGAAAATTTAAAGAATTGTTAGTATTTCTTTCGTGTTCTGTTCTAAATGATATCAGAGAGAACTAAATATATTGGGCAGTATCACATACCTATTATTCTTTTGATGTTCCACACGAAACACTACTTCAAAACGCAATGTTTTGCGGTTTGTGTGTAAAAACGTACAAAAAAGCAACGCAATCGCAAATATTTACCTGTTTGAAGTTCAAATAAACAACCTTGTATTTTGTTTTGCGAAATAATTAATTTCGGCAAATTTTAGGGTGATTTTAGGTATTACAGCTAAATACGTGGTGACGCCTAGCACCGCTGTATTTCTACTTTTAACATAATTTTTCTTTGAAAATCAGTCGTCGTTACGTAACGCTCTTAAAAAATATTCAGATAATTTGTGCGCTTTATTTTGTTTTAAATAATTGTGTTGTGTTAAAATAAAAACTGATTATGCATTTACAATATAAAAACATTTGACGAAATCGCAGGAAAAATATAAGTTTATCCACGCAAGGAATAAACACATGCAATGTAACTGTAGCCCTATAGAGATTTATTTATTGTGAATAAAATGAAAATTGTAAAAAAATTTATATTAATTACAAAAATTATAAACTAATCTTTCTGTCAATTAAATAATAATATTGTTTTCAGCAAATTAAAAATATAATTTTTTTTAAAGGTGGCGGTTTTGCATTAGCCGAAGGCAGTAAAGTAAGTGGAATGGCCACCCTAATTGGAAATGCACTTGTTGGACTTAAATCACTTCACCATGCTATTCTGCTACTTGTTGTTATTATTGTCGCTGTTGTATTAACAGCATTTAGTTCAAATGTTGCCATAGCAAATATTATTGTACCTGTATTAGCTGAAATGGTATTACGTTTATTGTAATGCAATTTACATATTAAATTATATAAGTAATCAATTACAGTCTCTGGCAATTCAAATTCATCCATTGTACTTAATTCTACCAGCTGGTTTAGCTTGTAGTATGGCTTTCCACCTTCCGGTGAGTACACCCCCGAATGCACTTGTAGCTGGATATGCGAATATTAGGACAAAGGATATGGTAATTAAAAATAGCTATTAAACATTGTACTTTTTACAACATATCAGTTATAGGCTATTGCCGGAATCGGACCCACGATTATAAGCGTTGTTGTACTATTCATATTCTGCCAAACATGGGGCTTGGTTGTTTACCAGAATTTAAATACTTTTCCGGATTGGGCACAGGTGCTTGTCAATGCTACACTTAAATCTACTAATGCAACAAATATTTAGAGTATCTTGAAAAATCATTAAATCGAGTATGCATTAAAAGAAGATATTTTACCATATAGATATATGTAGGTACAATTAGAATTCATGGTTTCAAGTATCTTCCTCTTTTTATCTCGTGATAATTCTTAATAGATAATTAAATACAGTGGTTTTATTTTTCTTTCGTTATTTATAGAAAATAAAAAAATGATACATAGGTTTATAAACGAAAACATTGTTGTACATATCGCATAATCAATATATATAGTGCACATTATATCAGATTAAATATAGGAAATAAACATACGAGTAACATTCACGTATTTTTAACATTTGCATTTGAAAACTATTTTTACAGAAAGTAATAACTACTATTATAAAAAATTAATTTTTAAATTTGTGGTTACCAATGCATTTAAATATATAACTAAAAATGTGAATTTTGTATGTAAATATGTGAACAAAAAGTCGTTTTTAAAAATTTTAAACTGTTATATTTTTGATAAAAATATTCGTTTTTTTAACAGACTGAAAATGAAAATATTCTAAATATATGCAAATACATAAATATCAAGACACAAATGTTACCTCTTAATGATAATACTATAATGTTGAGTGTAAGAAATATAAATAAATTTTAATTTCTTCATATGTAAGCTTTTACTGTTTATATTTAAATTTACTCAGTTATGATCTGTGAGTATAATTTACTTAATTGTATATGTATGTAAGTAATGATAAGTTAATTTTAGATAATTACAATATTTTTAGCTTTTATACCAGGGTTCGTAGAAATATTGTGCACAACACGACGCAATTCGTGTTGCAATTCGATGTCACCTGGATCCCTTTTAACTTATCTTTCCTCTGTAATCTGGGCTCAGAAAAGGCCATAGCTGCACAATTGCTATATTCAAAGTTCGACTCAGCTAAGATCAAAACTTGATCACATATCTATGTTTACATGATTTTTCTAAGGTTTTTAATCGCGTTGATCATTTTTTGCTTTGCAAAAACTTTTCATCCCGACTTTTAAAACTCTGCATACTGGAGTTCCGGAAGAGTCAAATCCGGGTCCCTATTTGTTTTTAATTTATATAAATTATGTTTTTTCTTTCTTGATTGTTATTTTTTTAATATCTTCTCTGTTTGTAATATATCTAATATCTATTGTAATATCTATTCAAAATTTATAATCTTACATTTTTTTAATTTAATTTTTTTCTTTTATTTTTTTTTTATGATTTTTTTATTTGCTTGTTATCTAATAATTTATAAATTGTTATTTATTGTGTATATATTATTTATCTCTTTTTTGTTAGTTTTTAAGCTAGTTCTATGATGTGCATCATACAAGAGGGTTTTTTTCCTTAACGCAGTTTTAAAATAAAAAAAAATAAATAAGAATAATTTAATTATAATTTTTGTTTTTGTTTAGGTCAAAACAATTTCATAATTTTTTGATAATGTATAAAATTCAACTTGTAAACAAATAAATAACAACAACAATAACAAAGCAATAGCAATAGTTAACAATTCATTAATTAGTCTTAAAGTTTTAGAATTATTTAATTCTAATAGTTACCAACAATAGGCCTCTTCTTTTGTAAGCATATTACAAAAAAACAACTGCTTATTTTAAAAATAACATATGAACCTACAACACTGCTGGCTTATTTAGTCCAACCTTTTTGAAATCGCTTAACTAATAAGCAGCTCAAATCACATGGTTGCCAAGACTAAAAATTTGTCTATTGTGAACGATTTTTTGAAGTACGTACGAAATTTCCAGTTAACTGTTTTACGTTCGTAGTCTAGCAGATTGAATTTATCTTGCAAAAACTTTACTTCAATATATTTTGTGCTACTATACAGTGGTTGAGATAAGGTTGTACGATTTTCATGGTACACTTTTTAATCGGTTGTAATTGCTTGTATTTTGAACAACGAATACCCTACGCAAAACACAATTTTTTCATATTCGAACAGTTTGCTGCCGTTCTCCCTATCCGCATTTCGTTACAGAGATTTTTACGATCTTACACTGTTGCACAAAATGACTATGTCCTCAACATTTGACTATATAATACAGTCACGTTCTTGGTACGACAGTAACCGAATACGTATTCGGTAGTATTCAAGTACTTCAGCCGCATATCCTGCAGACGGAATGATGTAGATTGTCTGGGTGTCTTGATAACCTATTCTAATACTGCGGTCTTATGTCGAATTCGTTATACAACGCCTCGCATTGTTCAGCTACTATAGTAATTTCATCCAAATATCTAAGTCGTATCGTTGTGGTGTAAGTTTTTGTTGTGACTTTGGATAAATATTTAAACACTCTTAAAAAAGTAGCTCTTTCCTATATATGCTACTTTACGGCCCATATACCATGTATATATCTCCAAGGATTGACACAATATTTCATCAGATATTGGTTCAGTTCCAGGTCAGTTTAACCAGGATTGAGTTCAATTTTGTCTACATCTCTAACTTAACAGCGACTTTAGGTGGAACGTACTATAATTTTACCGGAAAGGCAGCAGAAACTGTATTTGCCAAGAAAATATTGAATTAAGATGACACCAATGCTTATTTAAGTCTCACAATATAATCACCACCAGCTCCAAGCAGTCTAAATAGCATGTTCGACTGTAGCTTTAGTTCTTGGAGCAATATCTACTACTAACGTGGCGATACCGACTTCTAACCTTTTATTGTAACAACAGTTACCGCTAGCATGTGGAACAGACGCTATGCACTTATATCTCTCTCGCTCATGTGATATCAACCATTCCTAAGCAGTTACTATACGCTTCTGTCTCTCGTGATCCATCTGAATATTGTGAATATTTACTTAAACGACATTCATTTATCTCGTCCTAAGGGCTTCTCATGTTTCTGTATTCTTTTTGATGGTTTCTGTGGTCTCTTGCGGTGTGCCTTATCTCGGATATATTCTTTTGTTATTTTGCAGAAAACTTCACTACAAGTGAGATACCAGGGTAGCGTGTCTAAATGCATGAAAAATGCCAGCGTAATTGCTATCGCCTTCAATCTAAGTCGATGCACAGCTTCCACGTGGCACCTCTGGAAAGCTACCACGAATTCTATCATTAGCACTTCAAGTTTAGGTCGAACACTGTATTTGAATCCCGTCATATAAACTCAACTGTTAAGGGAGGACGTAACGATGCCTGCGGAACAACGCAGCATATCAAGCCACATTGCGGTCAGTTGCGATGCGCGCTGGTAAAGAACGATATCGGCAAAAGAGAAGGGAAGAGAAACGTCTTTTCAGGCGAAAAAAGAAAGAAGCAGAAAGATGTGAGTACGAAAAGCTGGAGAAGTTGGGCGACAGGAATATGACTAGAAAATTCTGTTAAAAAACCAAATACTGGTTATAAACCCGGAGTTAATTCCTGGAAAGATAAAAATGATAATCTGGTTATATGTCCAAAGCATACTTAACATTTGGAGGGATCACTTTTCAAACCTACTAAATGCCGTTAGTAGTGATGTGACTGAAAATCAAGATGATCCTGAATTTGCAATTGTTGATGATTAAATAAATAGATAGAGTTGCAGAAGCCGATAGCTTGCAGTTGCAGTTACTTCGCAACATATGATCAAATGAATGCATGCCCAACGATTGGAATTTAAGTGTGCTTTGCCCAATCCACAAAATAGGTAATCCTGCAAACTGCGCCATGCAAACTGATCGTCCAACTGATTGGACGATATCAGTGTAGCTTCAGACTTGGGAAATCCACCCTAGATCAGTTATTGACAGTACGTCAAGTCTGTTTTTGATACAACGACTAGAAGCATTCCCTATGCCGCTATGTCTAAATTTGGTATCCCAACAAAACTTATACGGCTACATAAAATTACATTGAGTAACACTACCGGCTCCATTAGAATCGGGAAAAACATTTCCGAGCCATCTGATACCAAACAAGATTTCAGACAGCGTAATTGTTTGTCGTGTGACTACTTTAACATAATGTTTGAAACTATAATTCGAGCAGCAGATTTAAACCGCACTGGCACAATATTCTACAAGTGTAATGCTTCTTGCATACGTCGATAATATTGATATCATTGGCCTGAACCCCCGTTGTCAGTGCGGCGTTTTCCAACTTAGAAGAACAAGCAAAGCAAATGGGTCTTGTGATAAATGAGGAAAAAAGTACTTTCTGTCAACAAACAAAGCGTCTTGGGACCCACGTTACTGCTGACAAACGCATAAAAATTCAGCGGTTTCGCTGGCTTGGAAATGTCATGCGAATAAAAGAAAGTGCTCCAACTAAAAAGATGTTTGATTTGGTACCCACAGGTGGAAAACGCTGTAGGGGACGTCCGCATCTTCGGTGGAAGGACCAGGTGAGCAACGATTTAGGTGCGCTCGGTACTACCAACTGGCGACAGCCAGCAACTAATCGGACTGACTGGCGGAAGCTATTTGACGCGGCAGAGGACGGCCAACTAAGTAAGTAAGTAGTTTTTTTAGACTCTGCTACAGTCAAATTAGCATCCTTTATAAAAATTATATATTTAACAAATAATTGAACTGTGTACTTCAACACGAGAAAAAGGGTGCCCTTTGTTTTTCAGTTATTCTCAATAATGCTGGGCTAAGTTTAGAAGGTGAAACGAAACAATTGGTATGGGCTACGATCCCGTAGTAGCCTATGCGGTCTTTATTTGTGCGGCGTGTGAAATAGTAACATAATTGCTATAGTTATCAACTGTGTGCATTTTATGCTATGTGTTTTGTTCAAAATTAAACATTTGCAATTGTGCGCAGGTATTTAAGCAACCTTTTACTTGTAACATCTGCGCATATCATTAACTTTTTATAACGGTTCATTAATTAAAGGTCATATTTCTATCTTAAGCAGGAATTCTTAACAAATAAACAACATAATCTTAGTAAGTAAATACAAGCAAATATTTTACTCCACTACGCACGGATGCTTGTAGCTATCCAGAAGGGGCCACGTGGAGCTGTGTGTCAACTTGGAGGTAACAGTGACAAGGATCACACTGGCACTTACCACATTAAACGCAATCAGACACTTTACCTTGTATTTCCAGATTACAAAGGATAATATGCGAACAATTTTGTGTGTTTAAAAAAAATAAAGTTTTGAATTATTTTTTCAATGTAACTTTTTTTATGTGGTCCCTATCCGGCCCATAAAAAAATATTTTTTAATTGTGTTTCGAAAACTCCTTTTTAAAACTACAGGCGAAATTTTGAAGGATTTTTATGCGTCAGGTTTAAGTGTAATTGAATTTTGATCTAGAAACGTAATAAGGAGAAAGCCATACTAATGTAACTGTTTGATTCGTTCGAGCGAAATTGAAAATTAAATATATTTTTTGTTCATATTATTTTCATTATAATTCTATATTAGATATGATAACATCAATATGCCCGTAGTGATTATTTTACTTAATAGAAACTAATGTAGTGAACTACAAGAAAAAGTTTTTTATATTATTTTAATTAACTGAATTTTATAATGACTAAAGGTGGCACTGACCGAAATGTGGCAAAATATTGGACCAGAAACCACACAAAAATTGGTTTATTTGACGCCAAGTCGACTAGAAGCTGTTATTAAACAGAAGGGAATACTCACATTATTAATTGGTAATGTGAATATTTTTTTAAATTTGTTTTTCCATTTTTTCATAAGGTGTGCCAACAAATTTGATCAGCCTAATTTAGTACTTTTTTTGGTTTTTTAATTTTAAGAAATTAAATATAATATTTACAATGAAATTCATTTCATCTTTTAATGAAAAATCGATCATTTTTCAAAAAAATTTTACAATATTGATAAGTGTTTTGCTTTGATTGAACTATCCTTCGCACTTTCTCCGCAAACTGTATTGGATTTTTCGATTTCTTGCATATGACATGGATAGTTTTGGAGGGTTTCGTAGTTTTTGTTTACAAATAGCTTTAATTTCTTCTTAGTTACTTCTCGTAACAAAGGTAAAGGAGTCAATTTGCACAACTCCCAATTAATAATTTGTGTGTGTCTCCAATGAATATTCCAATCATACGTCAAATGTTTGTAAACAAAAATGCCAACAAAATTAAAAAGTTTCACAAATTTGTTAATTGTGGAAATAAAATATTTAAAATATACAAAATTGTAGAATTTTAACTTATAAGGTGCATAAATATTGTAAACTGTTATTAATTTTGTTCTAAAGGGAAATTTCACAATTTCCTTTTAATTCTGTATTCATTTTAAATTTTATATTATTTATTTTTATACAAAATGTAATTTGCATTATGTGCATATAAGCAAGATTTGTTATATTCCAAAATATAATATTTGACCGATTGTACCAGTGATATCATTGTATTACAACAGTTTCGCTTAGTGCCTATAGGTCAGCAACTTGCTGTTTTTTGCCACACTTACGAGCAGCCGGAAGCATCTAATACATATATTTTTTCTGTGGTAAATATCTACCGACTTATATTATTATCTATATCAGCGACGTTCCATCTGTTTTTTAAAAAAAAGCAAACTAACGAAAACAGTAAAATAACAACTCATTTTAATCCTAAAAGAACCACCCATAGTAATGCAATTTACCATTCTACACTGTACCTAGGAAGCAATGCTAAGAAATCACAGAATATATGAATATACTATGTATATTATAGTCCCCGCCCTAACAATTCTCAAGTCCACTTCTGGATTCTCAGGAAGATATGCTGATTTAAGGTCCGTCATCAACTAAAAGACAAATAAATGATATGATTTTTTTAGCCTAATTAAAGTCTAGTGTGGGGTAGAGATAAGCCCCCCAGCCATTATAGAGTAAAAGTGCGTAATAGCATTAACTCAAGAAGAAGAAGAATCAAGAAGTCCGATTAACTCACTTTATTTAATATTAATAAATTTTAATAAAAATGCTTTAAATCAAGTGTTGAAATTCGAAGTGTCCAAAATCAAAAAACATATAATATTAAGACTATTAATGATAGTGACCAGTGTCACTTATTGGAAATATCAATCACTCTCTCATTCAATTGTTTTTATTCACAGCGATTTAAAATGTGCTGCGTGCGTAACTTAAGTTACTATAGTTGTGAAATCCAGAATTAAACATAAACTAACTGTAAGTATATGCAAAATTAAGTAAATAATTGTAATTTTTGTATATAATAACATACTTTTGTATTTACAGATGCTTTAAGGACAGATGATAAGCCGGAATAAGTGGGGAGTGTGCGAAAATCTCTACAGGTCTCTACTAACAATTTCACACAATAATATTCTTTTATGTAAATAAGTTAATATGTAAATATATTATAATCTTGTTTTATGTAAATATAAATTTATAAAACATAAACATAAATCAATAGAAAAGGCAAAATTGAAAAGTTCAATAAATATACAGCGCTATGTTGTATTACAAATTTCAAAAGGTAAGCTAACATGTCAGCGCTGAAATGTTGCATTACTAATTTGCAAAGGTAAGCGAACGATTCAGCGCTTGCCCGCAATGACATGTACATATGAGTTAAAGTAATTAGGAGTTTCTCTTGAAAAATCAGCGCAAGACATTACCATTCAGCGCTGAAACAATTGAATACTTTAGCGCTGAAAGTCCTGCTGAGTAAAGGTTTGCGAGCGTAGCTTTCGCAACAAAAAGGTTTCTGCCTCGAAAATAAAATATAGCCAAAAACAAGTACAAAGGTGAACAAATGTTGCTTTCCCTTCAGTTAAAATTGCATAGTTTATATCAATTTCTCAATCTTTTTGGAGAAGAATTTTCTAAAAACTGAGTTGAGAAGACGTCTTGTATTTAGTATTCTTGGTATTATTTTAATCATTGTGCATTTTAATTTTGTTTTTGTTTTTTTGTTGTGCTCAGGTTGAGAGGGCGTGTGCTGATATAAGTATCAGTACTTCCAGTCAAAGACATCTATTGCGCATTGTGATGCCTTCAATCAAATGTGTTAATGTTTTTAATAGCCACACCCAAATAGTTCTCACATATTGATACTAAAAGACTTGGTTGTATGTTGGAGTTGTATGCTTCGTTTAGCTCATACATTAATGCCAAGATATGCAAAATTGAAATAATTGCGCAAATGAGCGAAACGTATGAATCTATGCCCTTCTCATATTCTCCTGATTAGTTTTATATAATATAAGATTAATTGTAATAGTAAAGTAAAACACTTTAAGAATATTGAAACATTTTTTTAAAAAATATAAAATACATTTTTGAACGCAATGCTTCATTTAAAAATTATGTCCATTATTTACAAAAAAAATATAATATATATGAAAATACACAAAAAAGTTATGACAATTGAATTATCCCAAAACCCCTAATATAATTTCAAAATTATAGATCAATTTTCCCTTAAAAAATATAATAAATTTATATCTTAGCTGTTTTTGCTAAATTTAGACCTTCTGTTAACATTCTGCCAAAATCAGCGTGAACCATAGTGAAATTTTTAACTGCTCGCTCCTGAATAAACTGACTGGCGTTGCTTAAGTGATCGACTATATTAGCAACTAAACGTTTTCTTTCAGCGTCATCTAATACATATACCCAAAAATCGGTAACTTGGCTATAATTGTCTTCTGAGTCACCGCTACTAAAACGATATACATCTCCTTTAATTGGGCAGCATGACTGTAAAGACTTGGCACGAGGACATTCATCTGGTCCAGAAAATGAATTTGGAAAATAATTTGGTGTACCTCCTTGATTGTCATTGACAGTCATGGGCCCATCACGTTGAAAATTTTTAACGCCAACACGATATGGACAATTAACAGGAATTTGTAAGTAGTTTGCTCCAAGACGATGACGATGAGTGTCAGAATATGAGAATAAACGACCCTGAAGCATTTTATCCGGTGAAGGTTCTATTCCAGGTACCATATGTGCTGGACTAAATGCAATTTGTTCCACTTCAGCAAAATAATTGCTTGGATTTCTATCCAATACCATTTTTCCAACAGGTAATAAAGGATAATCTTTTTGAGACCATACTTTTGTTAAATCAAACGGATTGTATTTATATTTCTTAGCTTGATCAAATGTCATCAATTGTATATACATAGTCCAACTTGGATAGTTTCCATTTTTAATTGCATTATAAAGGTCACGGATACTATAATCAGGATCGGTTGCACTTAATTCATGAGCTTGCTTTGAATCTAGATTACGTATTCCTTGATCTGTTTTAAAATGAAATTTAGCATAGACAGGTTCTCCGGTGGCATTAATCATTTTGAAAGTATGGGAACCATATCCGTTCATATGACGATATCCGTCAGGTGTACCACGATCTCCGAATAAGAAACAAACCTTAAAATCACATAAATATTATTAATTGATTTAAAAACAAATTGATACTAACTTGATGAGTAGATTCCGGTCGAAGAGAAAGAAAATCCCAAAACATATCCGGATCCTTTAGATGAGTTTGGGGATTACGTTTTTGCGTATGAATGAAGCTGGGAAATAGTATTGGATCACGTATAAAAAATATTGGCGTATTATTACCAACCAAATCCCATATACCGTCGTCAGTGTAAAATTTTATTGCAAAGCCTCGAGGATCACGTGCTGTATCTGCTGAGCCGCTTTCACCACCAACTGTTGAAAAACGTACAGCAAGAGGAGTACGTTTTTTAACTTTTTCGAAAATCTTGGCGGCGCAGTATTTTGTTATATCATGAGTGACTTCAAAATAACCGAAAGCACCTGCTCCTTTGGCATGAACGACACGTTCAGGAATCCGTTCCCTATCAAAATGTGCCATTTCATCAAGAAAGTGTACATCCTGCAGCAATGCAGGACCCCTGGGTCCTACTGTTTGTATTGCATCCTTAATGCCAACAGGATTGCCACTAGCAGTTGTTATAAAACCTGGACTAGTCTATAAAAGTACCAATTTAAATATATCAATTATTTAAGCAAAATTGTATCTTTTTGTGTAATCAAAATTTAAAAGTCTTTCAATATATTAACTAAATTTATTAATCAGATTTCGTCTCATATATCAGCAAACGAAATCTTATTTCCGTACCACGACGGCTCTATCTTCAAGATTGTTAATTCATATTATATAAAAATGCAGCGTAAGTTAACATTTCTTAAGGTTCAGAAATTTAAATTTCCCAGTAAATCTAAGACGTATATTTAATATATATAAATCATGTAATATATAAATGGATGTATAATTACGTAAGTGTACAAATATAGTTTTTATGTTAAAGTTATTAAATGTTTTTGTTAAATTTGTAAATGCACTTTAAAATCTTAAGAATTTAGAACACTGAAGAAACCTTCCATAAATTACCTAAAAATAAAAATAACAGCAAAACTAAAGCGATATGTTTTTCGCGAAACGGCAAACCTTCATTCCTGCTATAGGGTTTTATAGTTCTCAATAATATAATATAAAGGAGCCAACTCAAAATGACTAGATGTTATAACCCTAAATTTATGTTTAATTATGTGGACTACATATTTTTATAAAAACTTTATATTCTTTAATAGATGATAAAAAAAATGTTGTCCAGGCTTGGTATAATTCTTTTAGTATCAAGTTCAAGACATTGACGCCTGAATAGAGTTAGGTGCTGAAAATTGTATATAAACTTCCTTGGTTTTAATTCACTAGAAGTTTACCTGACACATCGAAAAATTGGAGGTAATATGTTTCGCTTTCAATTAGATATATTACAGTTAATTATTCATATATTTAAGAGAAATTTTAGCAATACAATCAAATTTGTTGAAGCATTCCTCTTGCTTTATTCTAATTATTATACATTTAATTCTTGTTATTAACGTATTAATTCTTGTATATAACTTTATACAAATACGAATAGTATAGGATATAATCTCATACTAGTTTGATTTACTTCTTTCTCTTTTAGATATGATAACATTATGATTGTTTTTTTGTTCAATTATTTGTAAATCTGTTAGTCCTATGTTGCTGTTAAACCTCAGTATAGCACTGTAAGGATGGAAATTTTTACCAAACCATTTTTTACTTAATAATTTTTAGCTAAGAAATTTATAAAATGATTATGATTAAACAACACTCTTTCCAAATTTTTGGCAAGTTTGTTCAAAATTTTAAATAAATTAAATTTATACATAACATTTTCTGTATATTATTGCTTCCAATTATTATAAAAATACCTATTGTATATATGTAGTATCAAGATTGCTATTTACTATATTATGAGCTGAAAAGGTCTAAGCACCTAAGCCCTCTAAAACTATATCTACCTACTGTATTTTTAATTTTTTCACTTTAAATAAATAAATATGAATTATCACCACATTCTTTATAAGTATTTAAATAGACCTCTGTACACAAGATAAGAAAATTTTAGATTTCACTAAGTATTGTAAAAAAAATTGTTATTTGAAACTTTTTTTATAGTTCAGAAAGGTTAATATTTTTTATAAAACAACAAAAAAACAACAATAATAAAAGTACAGTATGAACTCGATAATGTGTACCTCTCTACAATATGCGAATTACCTAATTATGTGAATACAAAAAATTTTCATTACATATTCTAAAATACAATATGATAAATATAATACATCACAAATGAATATCCTTCGAAAATATGTACTTTCTAAAATTTGAATTTTTCAAGTTTGAAATTTTCTCTGTTAGGATAGCAACTATCCTAGTCATTGAATGCAATAACGCAATACTAAATGGAGCAATCAATTTAAACTTAATTAAATGCAGAAATAAAATTCCTCTATAACTACATAAAATAAATTATTTATAATAAATGTTTAAAATAATAAATGCTGAATTGCAGTAAATGCATCTCTATAGTTACATATTTAATATATAAGTTTATAAAAAAGAGAAAATTGCACAAGCACTTAATCTTCGCATTGAATCTTAACATGCAAGTATTTTTTAACATTATTTAATAATGCCCTATTGTACTGTTGGAATTATTAAATATTATTTTTCGCTTTATAAACGTGTCAAGCGTATCGTCCTTAGATCCATCACTCACTGACAATAGCAAGTAACCGATATTCAAGTATGGAGATAAACGAAAATAAAGATACAACTACTACTCCAAGAGGTAATCACTGCACTGCGAGAAATCGTCCAGCTTTAGCAACTGGCACAAGGATTTTGTTGGTGCTAAATCCAAACGAGAATGTCATGACGAATCAAACCATTTCTTAAAACTATTGTACAAGAAATCTTAGATTTTTTCCACTTTGTGGTATGATTTAAAGATTTGAATCTGAAATTGATGCTGTTATTTTCTGTCTTTATTTGTTAAAATATGAATGTTTCTTTATTTAGACTATTTTTTGTATATTCTCCTTAAATATTGTATTCATAATAGATAAATATATATAAAAACTGCATACATTTCATGTAACCACAATAATAACAATGAAAATAAAAAGGAACTCAATAATAAAGGTAACAAAAAATTTCTTCCTCTTCAAAATTTAGCCTAGGAATGCATTTGTCATTATTTAAAAAAATGCTATTTTAAATCTATTATTTAAGCAGATCATATAAAAATACGTGCAAAAAACAATAATACTTAAGCAAATAATACTTACTAAACTGCCTATTCAAACATTTTAAGAACTCAATATAATCAAAATAGTATGAACGATATTTAAATTACAAAAAAAAATATTAATTAAAGTTACTTAAAAATATTGTAAACATTTTAAGTGGATCAATTAAAATTATATTTTTTAAAATATATGTGAGTAATAGTACTTAACTCTGTTAATACGGTAAAAACATATATACAAAGTTATGTATATGTATATTTTGTTTTCAACAGACATGAAAGTCAAACCTTAAGTACATTAAATATGCAGTACAGAATTATTACATTGCAAACGATGAAAGGCATGAATAAACTGGATTTAAATAAAAAACATTTATTACTGAAAATATATTTTATATTAGTAATAACTGATAACTATGTGAGCAACCAAACAGCTTTAACCAGTTTTATACAGTGCATTCACTCCAAAGCTGTAAGTATATTGCGCTTTCGCAGTTGCGAACTATCATGTTTTTGTCAATGAATGTACGTAGACATGATTTCTTTAAAAGGGAGTAAGTATACACTGAACTGTGTTTATGACGAAGTTAAATTTGCATTAAACTGCATTAATCGTAAGCTTTACAGTTTTCGTAATGTGTTGTAAGTATTTCTACTCATTGGTATTCACCATTAAGATTGTATTGTGTAGTTCACTACTGTTCGAAAAACCTCTTTACGATTACACAAATACATGTTAATCTGGTAGAAGTATTCACTTTTTTATTCGGTTGATTTTTTAGTGGAATAACTCTAAAACGTTTGTTTAGATCTGGAAATTTTTCAGCGGATAACAGATCCGATCAAAATATAGAACAAATCTGTGAAAAGTTATATGCTGTTGATAGTGACAACCAGTGAGCAATATAAAAAGGACTACTGTCCTGGTTGGTATCCGCTAAATCTTCCAATGAATTTATAAATAAGGTTCAAACAGTCCAGCACTTAAGAAGTTTTAAATAATTTTCGTTAAATTAATAGCAAAAATTTTAAGAACTGAATGAAAAAAATTTAATAGATTGAATTTTATGCTTTTAATACGGTGTACTTAAAACATTGAGTGTGCAACAAAAAATCTTATTGACCTAGAAAAAGTTCAGCAACTTTCAATAAGCAGTTTTTCTGCATCCATCCATTCATGCATCGCATTATACTTTAAGATTATTATTATTTATTTGCATCTCTGCAGCGCTGACTGCAAAAAGCATCTACGATTTTCAAATATAAAATTCAGAGTTCTACATTAATGAAAGTTCTAAATGAGAATTAAAAGGAAGTGTCAAAAAATTTATGATAAATGGCCCTAACAAATTCTATTTTTGCCCAACTCTATACTACATATTTATAATATAGTCAAACTTTCATAACTCGAACTAAATAGAGTGCAACAGGGTTTAGAGAGCAAATTACATACAATTACAAAAAAATTCCTTAACTCGAAGTCCCCATAAGTCGAACATTTTCTTTGCAAAATAATACTTCGAGTTATGAAAGTTTGACTGTATTTAAAAAAAATAAGTAAACATTAATTGTTATTTTCTGTTAGATATAATTTAGATATATACATTTAAGACAAGTACTTATTAAACACAATCTTGTAAATTTGCAAAATGAATACATATTTTAAATTTTGTTATTAAATCCAACACAAAATATTAAATGAACATTATAAGATCTGTAGAGGAGTGATACTGTTCCGCAGAGATTTCAAAATAGGCTTACACACTGATTTTTATTATAAAA